AAAATAACACGACCCCTGAAAATAAGCCCCTAGGGTGTCTTCTTGAGGAAAAATAAAATATAAGACTCGTGTCTTACTTTCTGGGAAACACGGGGGAGGCTAATAATCACTAAAACTTGTTCCCTCCTAGCTGAAACTCCTGTTCACTATCAACAGGTATCTCCCACTCTGGCACCTTCCAGCCTCTGGCAACTGCTGTCCACTCTTGGCTTCTGAGAGTTTGACAATTTAATTCTTACATATAAATGAGATCGTGCAATGTTGGTTTCTCTGCGTACCTGGTTGAGTTCACTTGGCCTGCTGTACTCTAGTTTCATTTTGATTTATTCCAGCAAACCTGAGACAGGGTCACGCACTGTTCGCAGACGTGGGAACGCGCACGCTCAGGTGGCGTGGCAGCCGGCGAGCAGGAGCCCGACGCTCGCGTGTGCAGCACGGCACTGACCCCGGTGCCGCGTGCGGAGGCTCGTGCAGCTGGCCCAGCCCTGCGCCACCGAAACCTGTGCCCACTGGAATACTGAGCCCCTCCCCCCTGGAAACCCCCATTCTACTTTCTGCCTCTATGAGTTTGACCATTTCAGACATTTCACATAAAGAGAATCATGCAGTATTTGCCCTTCGATGACTGGCTGGTGTCACTGAGCATAGTGTCCTCCAGACTGGATCGTGTTGTCAGAAATGGAGGCCTTCCCTCGTTAAGGCTGAGTAACGTTCCACTGTGGCGCCCCATTCCTCCTCCATTCATGCGCCGGTGGACCTTGGGTTGCTTCCACGTCTGAGCTGTTGTGAATATCACGCAACGGACGTGGCAGAGCAATATCCCTTTAGCCTTCCGATTTCAGTTCTTTGGGGTTTATGCACAGAAGTAGGGTCGCTGGGTCCTGTGGTAGTTCTGTTTTAAATTGCCTGAGGAAGCGCCATACTGTCTCCCATAGTGGTCGCACCACTTTACATTCAGGGGGAGCTAGAGTTTAAGCAAGCAACTGATTCAAGAGCTGGCAGCCCCTAGTGTGCTAGTGCACCTCCTGGGGCATCAGGACGTTCACGATGTAGGGTGGCTGCAGAGCCAGCCATGTGGGGCGCAGCGTGGTGCCCACCAGATGGGCCTCGGAGCCGCTAAAGCATCTGTGTGTGTCTTCTGTAGGCTGGTCCCCCCCTAACACGGAAGCAGCTCGTGTTACAGTCCCCTCCACGGAAGCACACGTTTGTTTCTCTCCCTGACGCAGGGTGTCGGGTAAGGTCTTCGCCGATCAGCAGTGGGAAATTTTCTGCCGTGTGCTCTGCAACCACCCAAGCCTGCAGCAACTGGACCTGGGCACCAGCGTCCTGAGTGAGTGGACCATGAAGAAACTCTGCGCCATGCTGAAGAGTCCAACCTGTGCAATACAGAATCTAATGTAAGAAAATCCCTTCCTGTCATTCACCCCTCCCCCACAGCCCCTCCCCACCTATTGAGGGAAGACCCATCTACACCCCCTCAAACATGTTCTATGAAAGATACAGGAATAAAGTTTCCAAAAGCACAGAATGGAAAGTGACTAAAGACCCTGTGAAGGGATAACGGAAGCAGGTTCATTGACTCAGGGTTTTAAAGGATGAGTAGGAGTTGGCTGGTAGGGAAAAGGTGAGGGAAGTTCATCTCAGGCAAACAGTAGAACATGAGGCAATAACAAGATCAAAATGCATGATCCGTGTGATGCTTTTAGGCTAATTAATAAGGTAGCAAATATATGAACCCAGGACACTGCGCCAGGCCCCTGGAGTAGGAGGTATGGCGTGCTGGTTCTACTTCATGCAAAAGTTCTACTCTTTACTTCTCCCTCCAAGACCAAGTGAAGTCCATGTGATGCCCAAGAGTAGAGCAAGTCAAGTTCTTGGTTACAAACACCTTCCCCTCCTTGCCCTTCTTTCTCTAAGCAGTTTCCTTAAGCTGAGATGTACCAAGAAACTTGGTGATCCCAGGGTAACAACTCCCTGTCCGCCTTAAATCTTACACCAAACGTAATTTCTCTTTGTCATCTTAAATGTTTTCCCCTACCCGACAGCTTCCACTCCATTAGCTGTCCGGTTTTAGCTCCTATTGTATACTGTGATTTGCCTTAATCTGTGTCTTCCCTGTATTTGATACAATAGTATTAATAATTAATACATGATAATGGTCAAAATAGTCAGAAAGTACAAAGGGATTTAAGTCATTCATCTCATAATGACTTTTTGGTCAATGATGGACATAAGACTGCAGTGGTCACGTAAGCTTATCGTACGGCATTTGTACTGCAGCTTTTGTATGTTTGGACACACGAGCGCCGCCGTGGTAGGCTTGCCTGCGGCACTCAATGCGGTCACTGACTGTGTGTCTCTGTGGTTCTGCCCCATTCTCAATGGACTCTCTATCTCATGCTCACACATAATTCTTTTGTTCTCCTTATCAAATGTCTCTCCCACTAGATTAGGCTCCACAAAGGCAGGGAGTGGTTGTTCGTATTGTCCAATAGTCTGTTCTCAGTGCCTTGCACGTCCTAGGTGCCCAAACATTTGTTGCTTTAAGATTCAATACAAATAATTGGAAACTTGAAAAGAACGAAAAGGAACAATAAGGATGCAACTAGCTGTCACCACCAGTAAGGCGTCTCCTCGGTGCCCTGCGCCTCCCACAGATTCAGACACACCCAGGTCACAGCCGGCCTCCAGCACCTCTGGCCCGCTCTTACCAGCAACTGCCACATAAAGTGCCTCAGCTTGGGCAGCGCCCACCTGAGCGACAGAGCTGTGAAAGAAGCATGTGAGACGTTAAAACACCCGAATTGTTTCCTGGAGTCTTTGAGGTGAGTCTTGGGTAGGGTTTATGCCTTTTGTTTATTTGCTTGTTTTTACTTTTTATTTCGAAATAATTACAGAAAGTTGTGAAAACACTAGAGTTGGGAAGGCGGAAAAGCTCTGGTGGTGATGGTGGTGATGGTTGCATGACAGTGAGTTCAATGCCACTGGACTGTAGACTTAAAAATAGTTAAAACAGTACATTTTGTTGTGAGTGTTTTATCACCATAAATAACTTGCAACATTTCGTAAAAATTAAAATATTTCAGAGAGGTCACATGTACCCTCCGGGCAGTTCCTCCCAATGGCCACATCTTGCATAACTACCACACAAGCTACAAACCAGGCCATGGACACTGGCACAGTGCCTGTACTTCATTCTGTGCCATTTTATCATGTGCGTAGACTTGTGTAATGTGCACAGTATCACAAGATACCGTGATGTCACCCTCATGCTGTCTCTTTGTAGTCGCACCATTCCTAATCCCGGCCACCTCGCATGTTTTCCATCTCTGCGATTTTGTCATTTTGACAATGCTATAAAAATAGAGTCAATACAGTGCATCACTACTCTAGACTGGCTTCGTGCAATCAGCCCTTGGATCCATCCGAGCTGTGCATGTGTCGGTTCGTTCCTTTCCATACTGAGAGCTATTCCAGAGTATGGATACGCCACAGTTAGTCTAACAATTCGCCTATCCAGGGAGATTTTGGTAGGTTGTTTCCAGTCTGGGGTTCTTACTGCAGTTTGCAAACCCTGGGCATGCGCTTGGTCACTTAGATTAGCTTGGTCTAAAGACACTTCTCCTCAATGTTTATGGTAATCCAAGACAAGCAGGGACTCCTGCTTGGAGCTTCCTTAGCTGACACGTCAACTGTTGAGGAATACTTCGCTTTGCACCATGTGTGCTTTTGCCTGGTGACTGGGAAACTGCACTTCCAGAAATGTAACTCGAGGGAGTGAGCCAAAGCATAGGTGTCCCTGAAGGATGGAAACACACGTTTGCACAACCTCATGAGGGTTTTACGTCTTCCCTGGGAACAAACAGGATGGCTGCCACCCCCTCCCTGTCTCCCACTCTCTCCCTGCTTCACAAATAGAATAACTGAAAGTTGTATTCAAAGAATAAAGAAGACACACGTGTCAGAAGAGAGAGAGGGGCTATTTGGGGCCAAGAAGGGGAGTGAGTGCAGGGTCACCTGGTGGGAGGTGCCTGCCAGTGTCCCAGAGTGTGTGTTTAACTTCTAATGATTCATAAGGGTAAGAGTATCGGTCTATTTCCCTCATTACTACGTTCCTAGGACCTAGAACTGCTCTTGGCTGGAGGGATGGAATAATTGGCTAACCCTCCAAATGGGAGATGGCTTTGAAAGATAGATCTGGCCACATGGTGGGGGGTTTCAACTGAGTATCACATTGGGGAGTTGGCATTTTCTTTCATTCAGCAAGTGCAGGGATCTATAATGTTCATAGCACTCTAACAGGTTCCAGGGATGTGCTAGCCAATGAGTCAAGGTTCCTGCTCTCACGGGCTCACAGGCCACACAGGGAGATAAAACAAATTCTTGCCTGTGCATACACACACACACACCATGAGCATGTATGTTTGGAGGACCCTAAAGGTTCTGTCTGGAATGCAACACAGCAAATTACATTGTTTCCATGTGCTAGCATATTATTAGTTGGGTCCTGCAACAAACACAGCTGATGATGTATGACGGTTCTGAAGCAAGAGAAGTTTTTCTCGCCTATGTAAGAAGATGGTTTGAGGCCAGTGGGGCTGGGGCTGGTCCTATGCTCAGGCTAGCGAGGGTTCTAGTGTTAACACACAGCTTCCAGATCCTGCGTGTTAGAGGTTCAGCTCAAAAGAGCAGAGAGTTTTATGAGCCTGGCATGGAGGTAGCAAATCCCTCACTCGGATTCCCTTCACATTCTCTTAGCTGGCACTGGGTCATGTGACCATGCCCACTGCAAGGCAGGCCGGACAACGTAGTCCAGCTCTGTGTCCTGGCGGAAGCAAACACAGGCTCGCACTGTCAGCCTCTGCCCCATGGCGGCGTTGCCCGAGTGCCTGGTGGGAGTTCTAATGTTCCCGTCCTCACAAGCAGCACTGAGGTCGGGAGCAGCGCTGGCCCCATCTTCCAGATGGCAAGCTGAGTCTCAGAGATGTTAACCTACTTGCTTCATAGAAGCTTAAGGCTTAAGGGTAGAATTGCTGGCTCGTGAGGTGCATCCACACTCAGCTCTTATACACACTGCCAGTTGCTGCAGGAGGTTGTGCCCGTCAGCAAATGCTGAGTGCCTGCTGTGTACCGGCACTGCCGTAGCTGCTAAAGCTGCAGCAGGCGCCAGGCCAGCCGGGCCTCCCCCTCGCAGAGGTGCCGTGTTCTAGGCGGGAAGACGGGCAGTGAACAAGCGTAAATATAGACGAGTGTTAGCTGGTGATCGGGCTATGAACGTAGTAATGTTGAATAAGGATGGAGTGAGGCAGGTGGGCACCGTTCAAGGCAGTAAGTCCAGCTTACCCCAAAAAGGTGACAGTTGACAAACCTGAATGTGGAAATGAACGGCATGAAGACGGGGGTGGGAAGGCCGGCGCCGGTGGGGGAAGCGCAGCTGCTCAGGCCCTGAGGCAGCGGGTGGTGTGGCCTGGAGGCCCGGGAGGAGGCGGCACAGCTGGGCGCGGAGCGGAGCGGAGCGGGCTGCTCTGGCCGGGCGGGCGGGGCTGGCGTCACGCTGCCTGTCTCCGCAGGTTGGATCACTGTGAACTGCACCACGCCGGTTACCTGATGCTCTCCCAAGTCCTCACCAGCCTAAACTACCTCGGCCTGTCGGGGAACAAGGTGACGGACGAGGGTGTGAAGCCCCTCTTCCAGGCCTTGGAGGACTCGGAGTGCGCCCTGGAGAAGCTGACGTGAGTCCCACTCCTGCCGCTGGGCTTGTCTCAGCTGAGGCCCGCGAGCCGTGAGGGAGGGGATTGGCAGGTGTGTATGCCAGGGCAGGAGTTGGGCTGGCGGGGGCCGGTGCTGAGAGCAGGATACCCACAGAACTCAGCTGTCCTCGCTGCTGAACTCTGAGTGTAAAGCTGGGAGCAGGAGGCAGTGACCGGAAATCAAACGGTGACCTTCCAAGATGAAGCTGTCTTGGAGTACAAGGCCGGCACGTGTGGCCACGCAGACTACTGAGTGCTCCACCCCACCATCGCACAGGCTGGGGTGCTCCACCCCACCATCAGACAGGCTGGAGTGCTCCACCCCACCATCATTGCACAGGCTGGGGTGCTCCACCCCACCATCGCACAGGCTGGAGTGCTCCACCCCACCATCATTGCACAGGCTGGGGTGCTCCACCCCACCATCATTGCACAGGCTGGGGTGCTCCACCCCACCATCGCACAGGCTGGGGTCTCCACCCCACCATAGGACAGGCTGGGGTGCTCCACCCCACCATCGGACGGGCTGGGGTGCTCCACCCCACCATCGCACGGGCTGGAGTGCTCCACCCCACCATCGGACGGGCTGGGGTGCTCCGCCCCACCATCGCACAGGCCGGAGTGCTCCACCCCACCGTCGGACAGGCCGGAGTGCTCCACCCCACCGTCGGACAGGCCGGGGTGCTCCGCCCCACCGTCGCACAGGCCGGGGTGCTCCGCCCCACCGTCG